AATTATCTTTTAAAGTACAATTTACCTATCTCTACTTAGGATCACTGTTACTTTGAACAGTGATCCTAAGATATACTTTAGCCAAATAATGTGTTTTGAGAATGTTATATAGCTGGGTGGCCATTTAAGTTATTGTGTAAATCAGGATACTTTTATTTATTTATTTTTGAGACAGAGTCTCACTATGTTGCCCTTGGTAGAGTGCCATGGAGTCACAGCAACCTCAAATTCTTGGGCTTAAGCGATTCTCTTGTCTCAGCCTTCCAAGTAGCTGGGACTACAGGTGCCAGCCACAATGCCTGGCTATTTTTTTTCTTTTTTTTGAGACAGAGTCTCGCTGTGTTGCCCTCAATAGAGTGCCATGGCATCACAGCAACCTCAAACTCTTGGGCTTAAGCAATTTTCTTGCCTCAGCCTCCCAAGTAGCTGGGACTACAGGTGCCCACCACAGTGCCTGGCTATTTTTTGGTTGTAGTTGTCTTTGTTCTTTGGTACGCCCGGGCTGGATTCAAACTAGCCAGCTCTGGTGTATATGGCTGGTACCCTAGCAGCTGAGCTACAGGTGCTGAGCTGTATTTATTAGTTTTTGAGACAGAGTGTCACTTTGTTGTCCTCAGTATAGTGCTGTGGCATCATAGCTCACAGCAACCTCAAACTCTTGGGCTGAAGTGATTATCTTGCCTTAGCCTCCCAGGTACCTGGGACTATAGGTGCCTGGCACAATGCCCAGGTATTTTATAGAGATGCGGTCTTGCTCTGGCTCTGGCTGGTCTTGAACCTGTGAGCTCAGGAAGTCCACTTGCCTCCACCTCCTAGAGTGGCAGGATTACAGGCATGAGCCACCATACCCGGCCCCTTTTTATAACTTGAAATGGAAGGAAATCAGTTGGAATAGACAGATTTCTAAATGTGAACAATATAGATGGGTATATGATTTAGATTCAAATAGCACCTTTTGACTTTTTTCTGAAATTTGTTTATTGAAGTCATCTTTGATAAATCACATCTGATTTAATTTTCTTTTTTTGCTGTCCTTTTGTAAAAAAGAACATATAGTTTTGAAAATATGGGAGGTTTTTTTTCTGGTTATAAAAGTCCTATTGAATTTTGTCTTTCATAATGCTCTGCTTTACAATTTTTGGTTTTTTTAGAGACAGAGTCTCATTTTGTCGCCCTCAGTAGAGTGCCATGGTGTCATAACTCACAGCAACCTCCAGCTCTTGGGCTTAGGCAATTCTCTTGCCTCAGCTTCCTGAGTAGCTGGGACCACATGTGCCTCCTGCAATACAACACCCTGCTATTTTTTGTTGCAGTTTGGCTGGGGCTGGGTTTGGACCCACCATCCTTGGTATATGGGGCTGGTGCTCTACTCACTGAGCCAGAGGCGCTGCCCAGTTTTTTGTTTGTTTGTTTGTTTGTTTTTTTAGAAGACAGATTCTCACTCAGTTGCCCTGGGTAGAGTACCGTGGCTCCATAGCTTACAGCAATCTTAAACTCTTGGACTCAAGTAATCCTCTTGTCTCAGCCTCATGAGCTGGGGCTATAGGAACCTACCACAACACTGGGCTTGTTTTTGGGAGAAACAGGGTCTTGCTTTACTCAGGCTGACCTTGAACTCAGGCAATATCCACCTCAGCCTCCCAGAGTGCTAGGATTACTTGCATGAGTCACCATGCCCAGCCTCTGCTTTACAATTTTAAGACTTCTTCAGTGAGCCTTGGACTTTGCACACCTATATTCTAATGATTTGGGGTTAATTTTTAGAATATAGAGCAATAGAGAAAATTGTAGTTTTTCATATCTTCATATATGTCATTTTCATTTTAATCTTGAGTACTTACATTTCATGTTGAGTTTCTTTTTGCATACTAAAGTATATTTATTTGTGTAATAATTTTTTATTTTGAATTCAAGGATCAAGATTATAGAACTGGCCCAAGTGAGGAGAAACCCACGAGGCTTATTCAATTAAGTGGGGTGCCTGAAAATGTTACAAAAGAAGAGGTAAGAGGTCTATACTCTCCTTTTTTGTCTTGGTTAATGAAAAAGTTTTCAGCTGGGCACAATGGCTTATGCATATAATGATAGCACTTTAGGAGGCTAAGGTGGGAGGATCACTTGAGGTCCAGATTTTGAGAATAGTCTGGGCAATATAGAAGACCTCATCTTTAGGGAAAAAAAAAAGTAACTGGCAGCGGTGCCTGTGGCTCAAAGGAGTAGGGTGCCAGCCCCATATTCTGGAGGTGGCAGGTTCAAACTTGGCCTTGGCCAAAAACTGCAA